GGTAAATCTATGGAGGCTAAAAATAGATTAGTGATTGTCTAGGTCTGATATAGGAAGGAGAGGTTGGAGGAAAATGGAGCGTGCTAATGGACAAGAGTTTTTTTGGGGGGGGGGTGATAAAAACTTTTTTTTATAAAAATGTTCTAAAATTGATTATAGTGATAATTGCACAGTACTGTGAACATACTAAAAACCACTGCATTGAGTGCTATGTGAATTATATCTCAATAAAATTGTTATAAAAAATTGGTAGATTATACTTAGCATTTTTTTTAAAAAATGTGAGATACCACATTCTGAAAAGGCCAGAAGAGGTAATGTTTGTCCTGGGTCTTTTAAGATTTACAGAATTTCAAGATTCAACTTGAAAGATGCTAGGAAGGTGTTTGGGTTGTTTATTGTTATATAACAAATCACTTCAAAGCTTAGTAGCTTTGAAAAAAAGACCATTTTATTTTATTATCTATTGCACTTCTGTGGGTTGAGTGGTTCTGCTGATCTTGCTTGAGATCTCTCGTGCAATTTTAGTCAGATGGTAGCTGGGTCTGCAGTTAGGAGGCTCACCTGGGATGCTGAGGTGGTGGGTTCTCTTCCTCTCTGTGCAGTCTTAGGGCTTCTACTCCATGTTGTCTCCTTATTTTCTCTTCAGCAGAGGTAGCTGAACTTCTCACATGGTGGCTCGGAGATTCTAAAAGCACAAAAGGAAAAGATGCCAGATTTTGTTAAGGCTGAAGCATATAACTGGCATAGTACCACTTCTGTGGCTTTATCTTAGTTAATGTAGTGCTGTGGCCAGCCTAGGTTCAGGAGGTAGAGAAATAAAACACCCTTTTTTGGAAGAGTGATAGTTTGTGGCATATAGTTTGCTCTCTAGGAACAGATCATTCCTTCCATGTATAAAATATACTCTTTCAAACCCCCAAAGTCTCATCCATTATGGCATCAGGCTCAAAGTCTAAGGTATATGACAGTCACTATTCCATACTAATTTTGAAATACAGCTGGGCACACATTGCCAGTTCCTTCATTAAAACCCAGTGCTGCTTTATGGGAGTGATTTTACATGATTCTTGACTTTGCCTTTTGAGTCATTCTTCAGTTTTCGGAAGTAATGGCATGTGTTTGCAGCTCAACTAGCTTTTTCAGACTGTCTCCTGCAAAGTTGGAGGTCCATAGTTCTTGCTTCATTTTGCACATTGTGGATGGACATGTGTCCTCTCCAGCAAGGTAGCTGGACTTCTTTCATGATGGCTTAGGACTTCCGAAAGTACGTAAGTGGAAGCCACAAAGCTTTATTAAGGACTGGGCCCAGAATTGCCATAGTGCCACTTTCAAAGCATTTTCTTGGGTGAAGCAGTCAGAGACCAGCCCACACTCAAAGAGAGGGGAAATAAGCTCCACTTCTCATTGTGAGAATGATAAAGAATTTGTGGCCATCTTTAATCCACCACAGAAAGGCTTTCTAGGAAGATATGAACAAAGTTAGGGAGGCACAGAAGCAATGGCTGAGTAGTTCAGTATGGTCAAAGTGTACAATAAGTTTTGAGGACACCTGGAAAAGAGCCTGGAAAGTAAGGCATTTAGAGAAAATTGTTTATTTTTCAATAGATTATGTATGTGTAAAATAAAATTCAGATAGTACAAAAAAGGGTAGATAGTGAAAGTCTAAACCTCTCTCCCTTTCTTCCTAGTCACTATTATCAATTTACTTTGTAACATTCAGATATATTCTATGCATATATGAGCACATTGTACATGTGTTTACAAGTATTTCCCTCCAGACAATAGACAGTAAACACTGTTGTATACTTTGATTTTTTTTCACTGAGCATTGTAGCTTGAAGGTAATCCATATCAGTACACACAAAACTGCTGCATTCTCTTTAAAGTCTGCATAAACTGTTGATAGACATTTAGTTTTTCTCCAACCTTTTACAACTTTAAATAATGCTATCATGAATTTTCTTTTTTTTTTTCTTCCCAAACCTCATGAATTTTCTTATATGTGTCATTTTCCACATATGCAGATATATCTGAGGGAAAATACTTACAAGTAAAATTGTTAGCTTAAAAGATAATGCATTTTTATAATTTTTTAAAGTTGTTTATATGTATATAAAATATATAATTTACCATTTTAACCATACAGTTTAGTGGCATTGGCATTCACATTGTTGTACAACCATCACCACCAATCATCTTCAGAACTTTTCATACTCCCAAACTGAAACTCTGTACCCACTAAACAATAACTCTCCATTTTCCCTACCCTGGCAATCACCATTCTACTTTTTTGTCTCTACAAATTTGACTGCTCTAGGTAACTCATATAAATGAAATTATACAATATTGTCCTGTGTGACTGGCTTATTTTAGCATAATGTCCTCAAGGTTTATCCATGTTGAAGCATGTGTCATAATTTCTTTTCTTTTTAAGACTAATATTCCTTTGTATGTATATACTACATTTTGTTTATTTATTAATCTATCAATGGATATTTGGGTTGCTTCTATCTCTTGATTGCTATGAATAATGCTGCTATGGATATGATAGTATAAACTATCTGTTTGAGTTCCTGTTTTCAGATCGTTAGGTATATACCCAGAAATTGAATCACTAGATTGTATGGTAATTCTATGTTTAATTTTTTGAGGAGCTGCCATACCATTTTCCACAGTGGCTGAACCATTTTACATTCCTACCACTAGTGCACAAGAGTTCCTGTTTCTCCACGTCCCTTGCCAATAGGTCTTGTTTTCTGGTTTTTTTGGTAATAACCATTAAAATGGATTTGAAGTGGTATCTCATGGTTTTGATTTGCATTTTCCTAATGATTATTGATATTGAGCCATATGCTTATTGGCCATTTGTATATCTTCTTTGGAGAAATGTCCTTTGCCTATTTTTTTAAATCAGTTTGCTTGTTTTATTGTTGTTGAGTTGTAGAAGATTTTTTTACATATTCTGGATATTAATCCTTTATCAGATGTATCTTTCGCAAATACTTTCATTTTGTGGTTGTCATTTCACTCTGTTGATAGTGTCCTTTGATGCACAAAAATTTTTGTTTGAAGTAGTCCAACTTATCTATTTTTTACTTGACTAAACTTTTGGTGTCATATCTAAGAAATCATTGCCAAATCCAATCACAAAGGTTTTCCTCTATGTTTTCTTATAAGAGTTTTGTAGTTTTAGTTTTTACATCAAGGGCTTTGATCCATTTTGAATTAATTTTTGTTTATGGTATAAGGTAAATGTCCAACTTCATTCTTTTGCATATGGATATGTCTGGATATTTTATAGAGAATTACTGTTAGTTTTTATAGGTTAATAATAGTATATGATTATATTAACAAGCTTTTATCTAGAGTTATAGAGATTTGCTCAAAATGATACAGTGGTGGGAAACTAACCGGTGGGTAGACAGGGGAAACAAGATTTTGTAATATGTTTGATAATTTCCAAAATAAAAAGTTAAAAAGAAGAGTTGGTAAACCAGGAGAATGATGTTTTAGAAATCCAGATACAGAGTTTCTATAGTCAGTGGGCAACTTTGTCAGATGCTATAGAGAGGTCAACTAGGAAAAAAAACTGAAAAGATGCCATGATTTTGGCAGCTATTTTCATGACCTTTACTACAGCAGTCTTAGTGGAGCATTTGGGCTACAGCCTGATAGCAGAATTTTGAGAAATGCATGTAAGATAAGAACATGGAGAAAGCAGGATGTGATTACTCTTAATATTAAGAACAGTTATTTCATTATAAAAGATTAGAAACTTATGATTTAAAAGCACTAAAGAAAAGTATAAAACAAAAAAACCAAAGACCCTGCCCTTTTCCTTCTCCTTCTTACCCATCCCCTCTTGTTTGTCTACAGTTTGCTCTTGAGAAGTGAGGCTACTGAATAAATGGAGTGGCAACCTGAGTAGGAGAGAGATTTTTGAGAGGGAGACTCAAGCATGCCTTTGCCTGAGAAGAGTTAGTGGGAGGAAAGAAGAAAAGGAAATGGAACTGAGGAGGACTAATGGAATAATGCCCAGAGAAGATAAAAGGAAGTAGGGATTCTGTGGCCAAGTTGGAGAAAAGAATACAGGCACTATTTTCTTTGAGACACCAGGAAAGAAGATGATTTCATTTTCTCTCTCAGGTAGTAGACTGAGTTTTTTGCTGAGGATGACTGAGGTTTGATAGGGTTGGTGGCATCTAATGTGTGGTTGGTCTAACCACAGGAATGAGGGAAAGAATGGCAGAGTGGAGGATCCAGCTCAGGCCCCAACTATGCTCTAAATGATTTTTTTATTGAGGAATGCCATTGTCCAGGGAGATGTGCTCCCTCATTGATTGCCAAAGATGACTCAGTTCTTGGCTGGTTGGCTAGTGGTGGTGTTTCTTCCTTCTTCTCTCTGTGTATATTTACTAAAACTCTGCATTTACATTTAAAAGCAGCTCAAGTGGAGCTGTTCTTCACTTCAGAGTACGCTGGTAGTTGTGTTTCCTTTCTGGGATTCCTTTGAGCATGATCTTATTTAAAGGAAAAAATTTGACAAAATAATTACATGGAGACCTCTAACCAACCATATTGTGGCAATAGGGAACTACTTTCTCTTCCTCTTTTAAAGAAACAGGTAACAGAAAGCTTGCGCTTGATCATACTCATTAGTCGTGTAACAGTGACAATTTAAAATGTGGTCAGGATAGATTCTGTCTGCTCTATTTTGAATACATATAATATGAAGAATGAAATGGTTTTATTTGTATAAAATTTGGTGTCTTTGAACCTTGTGTAATATTTTGTACAAATAGAAATGAAAGTTATATCACCTACTTCAGAGAATAGAATTCTCTAAATAAATATCTGAAGATTATCCTTGTCAAATATTTCTCTATGTGTATATATTTGTTTTGCCTAAAGATATTTTATTATGGGATTTATTTACTACTCATTGCATTTGGAAGTTTTAAAAAAGTGAGCTTCACTTTACTTTTTGTATTTTTTAGGAGACCCGTGTACAGTATCATCTCAGTTGGAGTTAGAAGAAGCCTTTAGGCTTTATGAGCTAAACAAGGATTCTGAACTCTTAATTCATGGTAAAGGAGTAATCATTTCGTACTCTTCTAGAGCTATAATTTTTCTTTTTTAAATAACCCTATATTCTTGACCATTTTAAAACATAATCTTGATGTCATTTTCTTAATCTCTATGCCTTGTCCCTATGTAATTGTCCTTATTTATTAGTTTTTCAAATGCTAAGGAAGATGAAATTAATTTGCTTCTTATAGTACTGGGAAATTTGTTATCTGTGTATGCTTTCTTAGATATTAAAATATGATCTCATAGCGTTTCAAGTTTAGGATAGAATGATGAGAATTCAGAGCCTAGTGAACCTAAGTCATCTCTTGCAGTTTTGTAATGTATGCAAATAATAATCTCCCAAAGTAAGGCATCTTAAATATTTTCTTTTGTTTAAGAGTTAATAGTGAAACCATTTACATAGTATTTTACAGACATTAATGTGTTTAAACTTCAGCAACACTGAGATGTGGGTAGTATGGAAGAAACCTAAATTTGTTGATCATGTAACAGATACATTATAGACCTGGGTTGGGAATCTGTGAATTCTGATAACAAATCTGTGTTCTTTTCGTTCTACTGTGCTACCCTCAAATTTTTTATGTCATGTAGAACCCACTTAATATGCTACATTTAGTTGCAGTACATTGGCAATATTTCATGTAACTTTTTTGGGAGTTGCAAGAGACCAGATAGGAAGCTCTTTAAAACATAGAACAAATATAAGTCTCCCAAGTACAAGGAATCATGTCAATACCTTGTTCTTTTTTTTACAGTGTGGTTTTTAAAAAAACAGTAGTTTAATTTGACTTGACATGGTGACTCCCAAGGGATCCATAACCTAGTTTGTTGACATCCCAGTGGAGCATTAGAAGTCATCTTTTTTTTTCTGTCATTTCTTTCTAGAGTGAAATTACAATGAACTTTTAAAGAACTGATTGATCAGTGGTATTAAACAGTTTTAAGTTTTATTGTTTTTTATACTACAGAAGTTAGTTTTCACAATTTAGCTTATATTTCAGTTTTTAAAAATATAACATTAAGAATTGTGCTTTTCATACTTTGTGTTCTTTATTAAACTGTATCCTTTAGTACATCACAGACTACAAATAGTTAACTAGATGTTCATAAATTCACTATGCTTTATTTTCTACCTTGTCATAAAAATGGTTTGAATTAGTATGTTTATAAATTTATAGTTTCTAATATATACTTATTTTTGGATTTTGATACTGTTTCTGGTGTTAATTCCTAGATTTAGTGTACATCTTTTAAAAACTTTAATGTTTTTTTTTTTTTTTTTTCCTTTTTGTCTTTTTTCGTGACCGGTAACGGGATCGCAACCCTCGGTGTCGCGTCCACACCGCGCTCAACCAGTGAGCGGACCGGTCTCTATATGGGATCCGAACCCTCGGCGGGAGTGCTGCCACGCTCCCAAGCACCGCACTCTACCAAGTGCACCACCAGGCCGGCCCTAAAAACTTTAATGTTTTATATTCTATATTTGTATACATTTTTTAAAATTAATTTTAATTCTTCTTTGTAGTACACTTGTCACTACAAGGATTTAGGGAAATCATACTTAATGATTTCTTTAAGGACAAAAAAGTAATTAGTGATGTGACAGAAACTGAAATTAGTAATTTGATCTTTTTTTTTTGGCGGCTGACTGGTGTAGAGATCAAACCACGTGCCAACCAACTGAGCTAACTGGCCAGCCCTAATTTGATCTTCTAATGCGTTGTTTATAGACATGTCTTCATGAAAAAACTTCTTTTAGATAGCCTTGGTAAAATGGATCCCTTCAGATAATATTGTATCCTGTCTCAAGTGAAGAAAGGGTCAGGTTGAAATTTGAGTCATTTTTCTTTTATATTTGAATTTTAAATTTTATATAATTTGTATGTTTTAAACATGCACTTAATTAATTTTAGTTTATTTTCTTTCAGTATTCCCTTGTGTTCCAGAACGTCCTGGAATGCCCTGTCCAGGAGAAGATAGTAAGTGTTTATGGACTTTATACCTTTGAAAAGAGTTGTATTATGCAACAGCACAAGTGAAAAGAAATCAGAAATAGAACTAAAAGTTCATGTGATTTCTTTTCCATTTTTCAGTCTAATTTCGAATGCATTAGCATCTGCCTAAAGTCTACTTTTGCCAGATCCAATATAGATAGTTCTTAGTTACAAACTTACTCACATAATTGTCTGTTGCACATATGAAAGGAAAATTAAGTTAATTTTAAGTTACGGTTCTTCCTAGTTTTTAATTTTGGAAATTTTCAAACCTGATTTCTTCATATGTACATGACTTTAGAAGGAATAGTGGTAAATATTTTGCTTTGAATTAAGTGAAATAGTTCTAAACTTTCAGTTCTGTGACTCTTTATGCTCCCTGGGGAAAAGGGAAAATTAAAGTATGGGCGTTTGTACATAGGATTGAACAGGGGCCATGTACTACATAGGAAGATGGGGAAATACAAGCAATAGGTAGAACCCAGAAGCAATACTGAAAAATTCAAGTCTAGATTCAGGTAGGAAAATTTCACTAGGGTTCCAGTGGCAGATGGATTAAGGCCATGTAGGCTGCCTTGACAGAGCTGTTGGAGAAACAGCCATCTTCTCTTTGTTCAGAGCCAAAATTTTGAAAGACTTGCCATTGTAGCAGATCTTCTTGGTTCCAGAGTTCCATCTCCAAATCTATTTTAGGTCTGTAGCATGCTTCCCAGAAAAAAATATCATTTCCTAACTTTTCATTATACTTCATGCTTACTTTCCCTCTTTAAAATTTATTGGTGGAGATTTTGACACCACTTCTCCCACAGAAAATAAATACTAAACTAGAGCATGGAAAAAAACTGATAACCATTAATGTGGTATCTTAGCCCTCTTGATTCCTAGGCAAAATTAAAATGTTTAAATTTAAGATTTGTCAAGTTGTAGTTCATGAAAGCTTCTGAAATAGAATGTTCTTTTAGGTTAAAATGCTATTAACAGAAACTTTCTGCTTTGGTTACTGCTAACAATATATAATTAAAAGTAAAAGCATCTATATTTAAGGTTTTGTATTACGTTATCTTAAGATTTCTAATTCAGACCATTGCAACTGGTCTTTTCTATCTTAATTTTAAATAGTAAATTCAGTGCTACATTTGCTTTAAAATATGAGTTTAGTAACCTAATGCATTCATAGTATTAACTGTTACTGTGGAATGTTACTATTAATGATTAGTAGATAATATATATAATAGTGATGGACTTAACCAAACCTACGGAGTTGGACTAGATTTGATCTTTTGGAACCTCTTTCTCTAAGTATGTTTAAGAAAAGCATTAATATAAAAACATTGGATAAAAGGTTGTTGGGGAAGAATGTATTCTTGTGGTTATAAAATATCACTTACAGATTACTTACAAAAAGTAAAATGGGCCTTTACAATGAAGAGATCTATCCATCGCTACCTTTAATAGTGATTCAGTATCAGCAGTAGGAGCCAACATTCTTACATTTGTATACTTCATGAGGTCATGGAATAAGAAATACACATCACTATGATTATTTTTGCCAAAAGTATTCAATATTGACTCTAATCATGAAGAAACAGAAATCCAGAGTGTGGGACACAATATAAAACAATTGCCTAGACTCTTTTTTTAAAAAAATTGAATCATAATTGATTATACATATTTTTGGGATTCAATGTTGACATATGTTGATCAAATCAATATTACTAGTTGCATATTGTTACAAATTGTATTTATTCTTTATGCCCATTGTCCAGTCTCTCCCTAACCTCCCTACCTCCCCACTCACACCATTGATAACCCTAGATTTCTTCTCTCCCTCGGAAAGAGTAATGTTTACTCTGTTGATTTGTTGCCTAGATGACCTGTCCAATGCTGAAAGGTGTGTTCAGGTCCCCCAATATTATCATACAGCAGATGCTTCTTCTGTCACTCTGTCATGGGTTTTGTGGAGAGAGACATCCTCTTCTATTTGGTCTCTGCTGGTGACTCTCCTGTGTCAGTGCGCTCCAGTGGCTGGCAGACCATCTGCATGGTGATTGTGACGTCTAGCCACTTTCATGGCAGCCAAGGTTACTGTGGTAGCTGTGGTGGGCCACCCATATGGAGGTGATGTTTTTGGCATGCTCCTGGGTAGGGGGTCCAGTCCTTGGCTCTGTGCCCTGGGAGGGGCCCCAAGGTGCTGGTGGTATGCCTGGTTGTGGGCTGGGGTGTCCGGTCTAGACTCTTTTTTTTTTTTAAAGTCAACACCACGAAAAAACAAACAACAAATAAGGCAGACTGAATGTTTTAGAATACGTTAAAGAGACAAAAAAGGTATAACAACCAAATGCAATGCCTGAATCTTGATTGGATCCTGGATAGAAAAAGAAAGCTTTGAAAGACACTTTGGAACAATTGGGAAATTTTCATATGAACTGTATATTAGTGATATTGAATTAATATTAATTTTCTAAGATACGGTAATGTTATTATGGTTATGTAAAATTAGGGGAAATGTCCTTAATCTCAAACAATGGATATTTAGGTATTTAAGAGTATTTAAGTGTCCGGGTGCCTGCATCTTACTTCCAAATGATTTAGAAATATAAAATGTTTGTTTTTGCAGAGAGAAAAGCAAATATGACAAAATACTAATAATTGGTAAATCTAGGTGAGGGAGGAAGGTGTTTATGCTTTTAGCTTTTTTGTGGGCTTAAAAATTAAAATAAAAAGCTGGGGGAAAATTTAATAAAAGGAAAGCAATAATAGTTATTCAAACATTTGTAGTCCGTGATGTTTATTTTCATTTAGTCCCTCGATGAGCCTATTTTACTTTTTCACTTTTGGGTTTTAATCAGTATATGTTTTCTTCTCGCAGTGAACATCATGAAAATAATCACAGAGAATTATAAAGTGACTTCTCCTCACACTGCTCTTTTTTTTTCTTTTTTTAACTTTTAACCTTTCTTCAGAATCCATCTACCGTCGAGGTGCACGCCGCTGGAGAAAACTTTATTGTGCAAATGGCCACACTTTTCAAGCCAAGCGTTTCAACAGGGTAAACTTAGTTTGTTGAATGCTGATAATATTTGTGACATCTATTTTTTTTCCCCTTTCTATCATGAAAGAAAGTTAGTTTTGTTATTACGTCTTGTTAATCCCTTTTTAAAGAAGTTAAGTAGCATGGCTTTACATGTAAACTGTATGCCTGTAGTTTTGTATTTTTTTTTTTTTCTGTCCAGTAAGGGGATCGCAACCCTTGGCATGGTGTGGTTCACACCACGCTCAGCCAGTGAGCACACTGGCCATCCCTATATAGGATCCGAACCCGCAGCCTCAGTGCTACCAGCACCACACTCTCCCTAGTGAGCCACGGGGCCGGCCCATGCCTGTAGTTTTTAATAGCGTCTCCTTTCACTCTTAAAAATGCTCCAGAATGGATGATTAATTATATGGTTATCCTAGCTATAATAAAATTGGGTTTTTAAGTATAATTGAAAGCAGCTAGAAAGTAAGCCAGTTTTATTTTGCAATTCGTTTACTATTGTAACTTAATTTTCACTATTTAGAAAATAATAATAGCAAACACAAACCTGGCTTTTACTATGTACCAGGCTCTTTTCCAAATGCTTTTACCTATATTGACTTATTTAATCCTTACAATAACTCCATGAGACAGATACGATATATTTCCATTTTACAGATGAGGAAACTGAAATGCAGGGCAGTTAAGTACCTTGCCCATGATGACACAGCCAGTAAGTGGCAGAGCCAAGGCTTGAAAACAGGCAGTGTGTCTCCAGAAGTCCGCATTTTTAGCTACATTTCATAACTACAAACTTATGGACTCCATTTCTATTCTAAAACTAATGCCATGTCCTAAATTCATTAACGTAAATAGAAACCACCACCTGAGATCCCCAAATTCTTGTTCCCAGTAGCAAAGTCACTTTAGGTGTTGCTTTTTAAGAAAGCAGGCTTTGGTCTGATCTCTGAACAGTCTGGAAAGTTTATGCTTGTTTAGGAGTCCTTACCTGGCTTTTTCTGTCATATGTTTTTCAATTTTAATTCACTTTTTCTGTTTTCTGTTTTTCTGAACTTAATAATATGAAGGCTGAAAATTCTTGGGCTTATATAACAGAAAGCAGTGTGGTTGGAAATTTCATTTTCTCTTTAAGCTCTCCTTTCTGTTTATTTTTCAGTGACCTTCATAGCTTTTGAAAAAGTTTTGTTTTGTTTTGTTTGCCATGGGCTGGCAGTTGACATCATGATAAGGGGAATTGAGTTGGAGAAGAAAGCCACTTATTTTCACTATTTTATGAGCAAACTGTTGAAAAATGGTTATGACCTTTTTTTTTTGATCAATAAAATATTGTTGAATTATTCTATCCAGCGTGCTCACTGTGCCATCTGCACAGACCGAATATGGGGACTTGGACGCCAGGGATATAAGTGCATCAACTGCAAACTCCTGGTTCACAAGAAGTGTCACAAACTTGTGACAGTTGAATGTGGGCGGCATTCTTTGCCACCGGTAAGACACGGTTGTCAATTTTTTTTTTAATAGAGCATGTTTGATAACACTACTAGAACAGAGGGTTGAAATAGAGAAGTGTTAAGGAATTACAGCTCACAAAAGTTGTTACAGAGTGTGGGTAGGAATACTTTACATTCCAGTTAACATATTGTGAACTTTGTAACTTTTGAAATTACTATGTTAATATTTATTTGTAGGATATAGTTAACTTTTTTGTTTGACCTGCTGTATATATGTTTGACCTGTAGGAACCAATGATGTCCCTGGATCAGTCTTCCATGCATTCAGACCATGCACAGACAGGTAAGAATGATGCTGGCGTGAACCATTGTTCATTAACAGAGTAGCATCTCAAGACTTCTTCAGATGACTGTTTTACCCACGTTTAAAACATTTATGTTCTTCACAAATAAAAGTAGGTAAGCATATTTTGTGGTGGTAAGATCAGTCACAACATTTAACATACATGTTTGGCATTTTAAAAAAGACAACTATGGGGCCGGCCCGGTGGCGCACTGGAGAGTGCGCCGCTTGGGAGCGCGGCGGCGCTCCCACCAAGGGTTCGGATCCCATGTGGAGACCGGTTCCTGCTCACTGGCTGAGCGCAGTGCGGGCGCAACACCGAGGGTTGCGAGCCCGTTGCCGGTCCCCGGTACGGGCGCGACACCGAGGGTTGCGATCCCGTTACCGGTCAGTAAAGAAAGACAAAAAGGAAAAAAAAATAAAAATAAAAATGACAACTATGTAAACTACAACAAATGACTATTTTTTTTCTAGTTCAGATAAATTTCTTTTGAGACTCCTTTAAATTTAGCAAACCCAATATTTTCTGTAATAAAAAAATATAAAGCTGATTTTGTGGGCCATGTTGACTGTGTTCAGGTGACCTGCTTTTATTAAAAGCTTTATTATCAGAAGTAGAAATTATATAAAAGATATAGAGATGCAGTTTACGAAATTCCAGAAAGATGATGTGAATTAAAATGGTGTACAGGCACAAAACCTTAAACACGTATCTGGGAAATCTGGAGAACAGTGAAAGGGGGTACAGCAGCCTAATCTGATCTGGGCTGAATAAGGAAAGGGAAGACAAGGGAGTTTTTCTGGAAGGACAGAATACAGTCTCTTGGTCATGGAAGAAGCTGGCTATATGAAATGGAGGCTTTTTTTGCTCTGAGTAGCTTTAAGGAATAGAAGTCCCGTCATTGCCAGTTCATTGTTTGGTTTGGTTTTTTTTTTTTGCACCTGGTGGGTACAGGGATCTAATCCTGGACCTTAGTGTTATCAGTACCGCACTCTAACCAGCTGAACTAATATGCCAGTCCCCTTGTCAGTTCTTTACTAGACCTATGTGGTAGTCAGGAACATTTTGAGTATCAAGGGAGTGAGAAGTGAACACCGTAGGCCCTCTATTTCTATGTCTCAGTCATACTGAAAGATTTAAATAGGGTTTATAGAGTCACCCTTATAGAAGGAATTATTTGATTAATTTGTAAAGAAGAGAAATGCTTAAAAAATACCAAAAATATGTGTTAAGAGTATTATTTTGCTACCAGATTGGGTCTTGCTCCCTTTATCCTCATTAAAGATATAACTCTGTACTTGTATATTTATACACAATTTTTTATTAATAGGACAGATATTCAGTTTTAAATATTGAAAACTTCTTTAGAAGTAAAAACTAAAAAATCAGGAGAAAATTTTTATGTCAAACTCATTAATGGATGCTATGTTTTTCTCCCTTTTTTATATTAATGTTTGGGATTGGTTTTTAGTAATTCCATATAATCCTTCAAGTCATGAGAGTTTGGACCAAGTAGGTGAAGAAAAGGAGGTAAGATAATTTGTCTTATTGTACATTATGTCATTAGCTTTTCAATGTGCTTCAACAGTTTAAAAATATGACACATGGACCTGCTTAGATTTTAGATCATAATGGTAAAATACAGGAATGATTTTTAATGATTCCAGAGTTTGATTCTGATTTAATTCAGTAATTAAATTACTAATTTAATTTAATTTAGGAAGTAATTTGGTGGGATAACTTATTTTCAGTTTAAGATAACATACCCTGAAAATTATAATGTATTTAAGAATAGTGTTTGGAATACTTGGTAGTATTATTTAAAATATATTATAGACCCTTCCATTTTGTGGGCTAATTATTTATTTAAAGTATAAAGGATTAATCATCTTAACTGTCACTATTTTTTTCTGACTATTAAGCACTTTCTCAGTTTTTAAAACAAAACAAATTTTTAGTTAAAAATATTTAGTTAAAATGATAACCAATTTTTTGAAAAAAACTGGTAGTAAAAAAGATTATTATGCCTCATATCGTCTATTCCCAACTTGACTTCTTAGAGGCAACCGTTTTTTTTTTTAATTGACACATTATAACTGTACATATTTATGGGGTATAATCTGATGTTTTGATCCATATATGTTGTATAATAATCGAGTCAGAATAGTGTATCCATCACCTCATACATTTCTCATTTCTTTGTGATGAGAACATTCAAAAGCCTCTCCTCTGGCTATTATGTAATATACAAAATTTGACTGTTAACCATAGTCACCCTACTGTGCAATGGAATACCAAAACTTATTCTTCCTATCTAACTGTAATTGTGTACCTATTGGCCAGTCTCTCCCTGTTTTTCCTTCCCCTCTACCCTCCCTAGAATCTGGTAACCAGAGTTCTACTCTTGAACAGTTTTTAAGCATTTTTAGTTGTGTTCATAATGTTTATATCTCTTTTTCAGTTTTTCAAATTTATGTATTTCTAGCCAAGAAAGATTTTGTTTTTTTGTCCTTTTTTTTTTTTGAGACCTGCTGTACCGCGCTCAGCCAGTGAGCGCACCGGCCATCCCGGCCATCCCGGCCATCCCTATATAGGATCCAAACCCACAGCGGGAGCGCCACCGCGCTCCCAGTGCCGCATTCTCCCGAGTGCGCCACGGGCTCGGCCCAAGCCAAGAAAGATTTAGTTCACACTACCTCCCCTTTTTCTCTTCTCTTTCCAATATTTGATAGGTGTATTTGTTTTGCTCTTCTCTTAGTTACCATTTAAACAAAACCCAACTTATTATTATGGAAAATTTTGAACATAAATAAAGACAGAATAATATAACAAAGCCCCTGTATTCATTACCCAGTTAAAGCAATTATCAATACATGGCCAGTCTTGTTTTATCTACCCACTTCCCTCACCCCTCTATAATTTTGAAGCAAATCTGTTGGTAATTTATTTAATCTCACATCTTAGTTTCTTATTCTATTTTAGTCAGTATTTTGGTTCTCCTTTAGCTATGCCTGCTCTTACTCCCAACTTTTCTTTTAGCTGTGTATTTATTTTTACATTGCCAAGGTTTGTAACATTTATAATCTGTCATGCAACTGTAACCAAATCCTCCATATTTTCTTCATAAGTTGAATGAATCAGTCAAAGAAGGAAAGTCCTGATAATAAGGAATGAATCCTCTGTTCTTCTAGAATCATAAGTTGCTAATGTTTCCTTTTATTTAGTCCTTGATGCTCTTTTATAGCTTTTTGTTCCTTTTGGAGTTTCTCATTACCAGTATTATTATTCTTATTCTTATTTTGGTTTGATTGTTTACCAAAGACTCATTTGCCTTTATATTCAAGATTTTTAATATACTTTTAAATTGAAGAATATCATGCATACAGAAAAATGCACAAATCACAAGTATATAGCTAGATGAATTAGCACATGGTGAACAGTAACCATGTAATGACCACCTGGATCAATAGGTCTACCAACATCCCAGAAGCCCGTCTTGTGCCTTCTCCCAGTCACTTACACTCCTTTTTCCCCTACAAGTAACCACTATCTTAACACCACAGTTTAGTTTTGCCTTTTTTTTTCATTTTGTATAACTGGACTCATACAGCATATATTCTTTTGTATCTGGATTCTTTCACTCAACATTATGCTTGTGCGAGTCAGCTATGTTTGATATAGGAGTATTTCATTCATTTTCACAGTTGTTTCAATTTATCTGTTCTACTGTTGATTTTTTTTGTTCCTAGATTGGGATTATTATGATATTCTGCTATGAACACTTTTATAAATGTGGTTTGGCACACCTATATAAGCATTTCTGTTAGGTGTATAACTAGGAGGGGAATTGTTGAGTCATGAGTACATTCAGCTTTAGTAGATAATAGCAAACAATTTTCTAAAGGGCTTGTATTAATTTATTCTTTCACCAACAATGTATGAGAGTTCCATTTGCTCCACATTCTTGTCAGCACTTTGTATAGTCAGTCTTTTTAATTTTAGCCAATCTGTTGATTGTATAGAGGTAGCTTATTATACATTCCTTGATGAATACCTTTTCATATATTTGTTGGCCATTGGGATATCATCTTTTGTGAAGTGCCTGTTCTGTCTCTTTTACCCCTTTTTTAAAAAGGGGAGGTGGTCTGCCATTGTCTTATTGATTTGTGGGAGTTCTTCATATATCCTTGACATTAGTCCTTTATCAGATATATATTCTCACACTCTGTGGCTTGTTTTTTCACTCTCTTGATGGTGTCTTTTGATAAACATATTCTTGATTTTTATTTCATTTTTTTCATTATTAAATAAATGACTTTTAGAAGAGGAGAAGAAAGCTAACGTTTATTGACAACCTACTAGGTTTTTATATTAAATATTAACAGTCACCCAGTTAAAGTTTCCAGAGGCACCCAGACTACAATCTATAGAGAATAAGAAGTGTCTATGAAGTACTATCATGTCTATGTAGATTTCCTGTTGCAGCTCAGATTGTTCACCTAATACTTTTAGTTCTCGATTTTTAATATGGTGAAATACATAAATCTTTTCTTTTATGGGTCCTGTTCAAGAAATCTCTTGCCTTTCCAAGTTATTGAAGGTAATGAAAAGATTATACTTTTACCTGTTATTCTGCAGAGCTATCTTTTCATCAATTATGTCTATCACATGATGTATTTCTGGATTCTTTTTTATTTTCCCTCATCTTGCTTATCCTTGTGCCAATATCCTACTGTTATGATTACTATAGCTTTTCATCTAGTAAAGTAAGTCTTTTTTACTAAGTCTTTTTATCTAGTAAAGTAAGTTCTTCTACTCTGTTATTCTGGGAATTATCTTGGCTGCTGTTACTAGCTTTTTGAATTTTCATGCAAATTTTAGAATCAGCTTGTCAGTTTCCACAAAATCAACTAAAAACCCTGCTGATCAATTTCAGGAAAAGGGATGTCTTTACAATATTAAGTCTTCAATCCATGAACATGGCATATTCTTTCATTTATTAAGCTCTTCTTTAATGTCTGGCAATGTTTTGTAGTTTTCAGAGTTCTTGCAATATAGGTATTGGGTATTATTTTTAGATTTAGTTATCTAATTATTAAGTGCTGTTTTATAGATATATATTTTTTTTCTAAATTGCCTTTGTATCCTGCGACTTTGCTAAATTTACTTATTAATTCTAATAATTTGTTTACAGATGTTTTTAGATTTTCTATGTATACGATCATGTCATTTGTGAATAACAATTTAATTCCTTCCTTTACAAATCTTATAGCTTTTATTTAGTTTTCTTGCCTATTGAATTGGCAGGTACCTCTCTGGATGACCAAAATGATGTTAACAGAAGTGGTAATCAGACATTATTGTCTTGTTCTACATCTCAAAGGGAAATCTTCTAGTATTTTATCATTAAGTTTGATGTTTCCTGTAGGTTCTGTTTGGTTGATACCCCTTATCAAAATAAGGGAGTTTACCTCTATTCCTAGTTTGCTAAGATTTTTTTTCTTCATCATAAAAAGATGTCAAATTTTGTCAAAAACATCCTTTGACATTTATTGAATTAATCATATGTAAATTTCATTAATTTTCAAATATGAAACCTATTTTTCATTACTGAAATAAACTCCATGTGTCATGATGTTATTCTCTTTATATATGGTGGATTTGATTTGCCAATATATTGTTTTATTTTGTTTTTTGTTTGGCATTATTTATTGGCATTATTTCTTAAACTTTTGAAAGATTCACCATAAAAGCACTCTGGGCCTGGAGTTTTCTTTTTGTTTTGTTTTCTTTTTTTTGGCAGCTGGCTGGTACAGGGGTATCCAAACCCTTGACTTTGATGTTATCAGTGCCATGCACTAACCAGCTGAGCTAACTGGCCAGCCCAGGTTCTTCATTTCTGAGGATATGAAGTGATATCCTTTTTTATTCCTGATAAAGATTATTGCGTATTCCCCTTTTTCCCCATCAGTCTTGCCAGGGCGATATCAATTTATTAGTCTTTTCAAAGAACAAACTTTTGGCTCTTCTCTGTTAAGTGCTTATTTTTTATTCTAGTGCACTGATCTCCCCTCTCATCATTTCCTTATGCTTTTATGTCATTCAGATTAAAATACATCCTAATCTCTATTGTGATTTCTTCTTTGACTCATATATTACTTAAAAGCTTACTGCTTAATTTTTAAATATTTGGGAAATTTTGTTTGTTATTGGCTTCCAGATTAATTTCACTGCAAGTCAGTGATTGTGTTCTGTGTGGTTTTAGTCCTTTGAATTTTTTTGAAACTTACTTGAAGACCAAGCACATAGGATTGGTAAATGTCTTATATGAATTTTTGAATACATTATGTATTCTGTAGTTGGTGAGTACAGTGTTCTGTACAAGCCAATTAGGTCAAGGTTATTAACAATATTATTCAATCTTCAGTAATCTCGTGACATATTCAACTGCTTGTTCCTTCCTACTGAAAGATTTCATTGTGGATTTGCCTGTTTTTGTTATTTTTTACTTTATGTATTTTGAGGCTATGTTATTAAGTACATACAAATTTAAAATTATAATATCTTCTATTGGATTAATGCTTTTTCATAATGAACTATCCTTTTCTGTCTGTAATAATGCTTCTTGCCTGCCTTAAAGTCTGTATATTAGATAAATAATGCATATTAATTTACCTCAAAGTTTAGTGGTTTAAAACAACATTTATTACATCATAGTTTCTATGGGTAAGGAATACAAGTCCTCTGCCTCAGGGTCCCATACAGGAATCAGTCAAGGTGTTGACAAGGGCTGCCATCATTTCAAAGCTTCCATATGCACTTACCTAGTTGTTCATAGGGATTGAGTTCCTTGCCACATGGGCCTCTCTGTTATGGGGTAGCTCACAACATCATACCTTGCTTTATCAGAGCAAACAAATAATAAGATTCAGAGAGAGTGAGTACTAGCAAGAGGGAAGTCACATTCTTTTGTAACCTGATTTCAGAAGTGGCATCCTATCACTCTTGCCATATTTTGTTCAAAAGAAGCAAGTTATAAGGTCCAGCCCATGCTCAAGGGGAGAGGAATTACACAATGGCATGAATACCAGGAATTGGGGATCGTTGGGAGCCATCTTAGAAGTCACCCTACCACAGTAGGCTACTGCTGCTTTGTCTCATATTAGTTTAGCTACAACAACTCTCTTTTGGCTAATGATTACATGATATAGTTTTTTATCCTTTTACTTTCACTCTTTCTGTATCCATATATTTAAGGTGAGTGTTTTATTAACATTATATAGTTGGGTTTTTCTTTCCCTCTGGTCAGACAATCCTTGACTATAGTATTTAGTATGTTTATTTTAGTATTTAGTATGAAGTATTTTTGTATTTAATGTAATTATTTATTTAAGTCCACCATTTTACTGTGCGTCTTTATATCTCACTTATTCTGTGTTACCTTTCTTGCCTTCTTTTGGTTTAATTATTTTTTATTACCTTTTTTTTTTTTTTAACCTCTTATAACTTGTTTGACATTTTTTGCCATTCTTTTACTGGCTAGTCTAGAGATTGCATCTTGCATTCTTTACCTATTAAAATTGAATACAAATTATTGCTTTTTAATTTTTTAATTGACACATAATAATTGTACATATTAGGGAGTACAGAGTGATATTTTGATACATGTACACAATGTGTAATGATCAAATCAGGGTAATTAGCATATCCATCACCTCAAATATTTATCACTTCTGTGTGTTGAAAACGTTCAAACTCCTCTCTCTTCTAGTCATTTGAAAGTATACAAAAAAGTATTGTTAATTATACCTACCTAGTATTGCTATAGACCACTAGAACCTATTCTTTCTGTCTAGCTGTAAGTTTGTATCCTTTAACCAACCTCTCCCTTTTCTCCCCACCCTCCGCTTCCCAGCCTCTGGTAACCACTATTCCAATCTCTACTTCGATGAGCTTTAGCTCCTACATATGAGTGAGAACATGCAGTATTTATCTTTCTGTGCCTGACTTATTTCACTTAACGTAGTGTCTTTTACTGTTTCCAGGAAAATGCAGTGATCTTATCACACTTTAAATTAATTCCATCTCCCTTCCTATGTTTGGTGCTGTTTTTGTCATATTTTAAAATTCTGTGTACTAGTGTTTTTAAAGTCAATCCTTATTTAGATTTACCCACATTTCACCTTTTTTGTTCTTCATTCTCTTGTACGTCTCTGTCCTTTCATGTGAGATATTTTCTCTTCTTGAAGAGCTCAACTTAGTGTTTACTTTAGCAAGAGCCTACTGGTGATGGATTTTCTGGGTTTTTTGTTTGTTGTTTTTGTCTGAAAAATGTTTTTATTTCACTTTCATTTGAGAGCTATTTTTGCAGGATTAAATTCTGTGTCAAATGATGAACATGCTAGTAATGTTGATTTGATCATCACATACTGTACGCAAATACTGATAGTCAACTGTGTCCTCCATAAATATGTTTAATCAAAAATAAATAAATAAATAAATAGAAGAATTCTAGATCAGCAGGGTTTTTTTTAGGCCCTTTGAAGGGGACATTCCATTGTTATCTGGCTTCTGTTGTTTCAGTCTTATTATTGTGTCTGAGAAAGTACTATGCTTTTTTTGTTCCATTTCATTCTCTTTATAGTTTCCAGTTATAACCATATTTTAAGTCTGTACATTGACTTATTTTCTTACCATTATCTTCTTTCTTAATCTGCTCCTACTCTGGTTTCATTTCACTCCCCTATTTATCCTAGTTACCAAATTAAATTATTATTTCTAAATTTTCATGTATGATTATTCTTTTGAGTTGTCATTGTCTCTCATTTACATAATACTCTCCTTTCTATTTTGTGCTTACTGATTTCTTTATCATTCTCAAAATTTGCTCTTTGTTTTTTTTAATACTCCAGAGAATTCATACTTTCTTCTCATGGGTAAATCTGTTGATTATGTGCTGATGGTTTTGCAGGTATCTAATAAAATATTATCTTCAGTCTTCTGTATAAATTGCCTGAAGTTTAAATTTCTAGTTGTGAATGAATTATATGGCTTACTTTGTCATTCCAAAGGGGCCTTGGTATTCTATGGAAAAGAATGTCTTCCACTGGTTGAACTGCCTTGTGCTTGTTTTCTGTCTATAGCATACAGAAATGCCACATGCCTCTGAATGTGTCCTTTCACTAGCTCAAATTTCATATATCAAGCTTCCAGCAGATTCTTTAATCTTGATGTCCCATTGTAACTTCTAAATTCAATATGAAAAACCAATGTATTATCTCCAACAAATCTGTCAATCTTATCCTATCCACATACTTTATTTTCCCTGTCAGTGGTACTTCTAATCTCCTAGTCACCAAAGTTAGTGTCATTTTTTTATTCACACATATTCATTACCCCCATACCCAAAAGTTATAAGTTCCTTTTTAAGACATCCTTTAACATTTAGCATCCTTTAACTCTCCATTCCTGTTACCACTCCTCTTTACCTCAGCTCATGAACTCATTCTGCCTCTTGAGTAGTTAGATTATGTGGTTTGGAATGATACAAGAAAAGAATTAAGAACTTAAGATAGTATTTTTATGTTAAGAAACTATTTTTAAATTATTATAGTTATAAGTAGGTGTTAGAAATATAACATATTGTGCAAAAATGCTTCCAGGTATAACTCTTTGATATAAATGTTTTCAACAGGCAATGAACACGAGGGAAAGTGGCAAAGCTTCATCCAGTTTAGGCCTTCAGGATTTTGATTTGCTCCGGGTAATAGGAAGAGGAAGTTATGCCAAAGTACTTTTGGTTCGATTAAAAAAAACAGATCGTATTTATGCAATGAAAGTTGTGAAAAAAGAGCTCGTCAATGATGATGAGGTAAGTACACTGATGTTTTATTATTTCTAAACTGTTAAACTGCTTAAGAGTACTATTTCAGAGGAAAGCTCAATGTTTGTGCTTTATTATTTCAGCCTATTTTTCTAAATATATGCTTCAAACAGATTATATAAGAGATATTTAAAGTAATCTGATCATTATTAAATTTTTTAATAACAAAAATCAAACCATATTATCATCAAGGGAAGTACTTGAGCTTTGTAAAGTTTTCTAGACCATTTCACAATACTGAAATATTTACTAGGTATTTTTCTCTGTATATAAGTTGTTTCATGATTATCAGTGGTTTTGCTATTTAGCCTAGTTGGTTGACTATTACAATTTATGAAAATTGAATTGCTAAGAACAAATTTATTATTAGTTTTGATGATATCATTTCAGTTTGATATAGATTTCTTTCATATTTTAAAATAGGATATTGATTGGGTACAAACAGAGAAACATGTTTTTGAGCAGGCATCCAATCATCCTTTTCTTGTTGGGCTGCATTCTTGCTTTCAGACAGAAAGCAGGTAAGATTGAAAGATAATGGGATGTTTACTGGGCTTCATACATTTAGGTATATTATACGATAAGAATCCTTCTGCTGTGATTCATGAAGTAGAAGTCATGAAGAAGGACACAACAGTATTATGCTTACAATTTCCTATTAGTCATACTCCAATCAGTGATACTAGTTTGACATTGGATCAGCATTAGGAAATCACCTGCTTTAGGCAAAACAAGAAATAGCCAGATCATAGAAGTAGAAATTCAACCTTTTAAATATCCCCAGGATTCTAGTTTTATGACTTAAAGTTTCCTAGAGTTTAACTAACTTCTTTACCTTGAGTAACAGTTGATCATGAGTTATCTAGTAAATACTAAAATTGGGATAGGAGTGAGTGGCTCTGGACTGCAAGTGGTACTACTTTGGAATAAAAGTAGCAAGTTACAGAATTATTATCCTGCTGGTCTACTTTCTCTTATCTTCTGTACTCTAGATACCCTTTGTTTCCACCAAATTCTTGGCATCTTTTTAAAAGCGAAATCATAGAAAATACTGTTTGTTGTGACTGGTTTCTGTGGTGTTTAAAGTACAGTTATACTACCTCATTTTGCATCTGGTTTGATGGGTTCTCTCCTGTGTTTTAGATTGTTCTTTGTTATAGAGTATGTAAATGGAGGAGATCTAATGTTTCATATGCAGCGACAAAGAAAACTTCCCGAAGAACATGCCAGGTTAAGTTTTTTGTTCATTGTTTATTTGTGTTGGATTTTTTCAGGGCTGCATGACTTTTTATGTGCAGTGGTTGAAAACAGTCAAAAAATAATTTAATTTGATACTAGTTAATTCTTTGTAAGTTATGTAGAGGCTGAGCGAAAAGTTAGTTTACATTATTTTATGTAACATTATGTATTATAATTGTAGTATATATAATATATATATAGTGCTTCCTAAGCAATTGAAAAGCATAAACAGTATTAAAGGGGAAACTTTAGTCTACTAAAACCAATTATTTTCAAATATTTTCTCTATTCAGCATCAGCCACTTAAATAATTAATAAATTTACAAACACATTAATCTTATCAAGTTTGCAGTGATCTCTTTGACAGGTTTTCAGTAATCCCTGTGACAGGTTTTCAGTAGAAGAGTGCTACGCATATATACTTGAGAGAAATAAAATAATTCCTCTTACACTATTATGTAATTCTTACTGTTCTTCCTATGATTACAGTTTCTGAATTGTTCTGCCTTTGGCTTTTTTTCCATCTCATCCCATACATGTTGATGAATAAGAGAAAAAGTGTTAAATATTAATTTTGTGCCCTTAATTTGATATTAATATACAAGATTATAAATTATTTATATGTACATGGAAAGGGATCATGGCCTTGAATAAACAGTTTAACCCATCAGTACCATGTTTTTTGTTTTTTTACTTATACTTGGCAGTAATTTTCACTCTTTCCTGTTTCATGAAAGTAATGCCAAAATGAAGCATGTGAGTTTTTATATGTATATAATTATTAAGTGGGAAACAAAGGTTAGAGATTTCATTTTTTAAAATAACTTATTTAGTGAAAGTCTTACTAGTTCATTGAATACATCTCGAAAATATAATATTTTTAAATTTTATGAATGGGTATAAATTGCACTCATCTAATTTTTAATTATTATTTTTTAACTTACTGCTTATTTTTTAATTTACTGTTTGTTTATGTTTATTATGAATTTAGGCTTTATCAAATGGCCACCCTTCCTAGTAAAGTCACAGGTGATATTTTAAATTGTAAATATAGCCAGTATTTATTCCTTGTTTGGTCAGTTGGACTTGGGGGTCTGGTTTTTACTGTATTAAAGTGCCAGTTCTGGTTTTATACAATCTTTGCTTTTCTAGGAACTAAAGCACAGGATAAGAACTCAAGTTTCCTAAACATGGAATTAAGTAGCTAGAAGGTGTGTTTTATGTACCTCCAAACATAATCATGATAACATGCCACCTAAGCAGCCAAAAACCAGCTTAGGTGTTTCATTTTCATTATTAAGTCCAAAAGTTCTGGTCATCACCACTAGTGAGTTGGTGGCAGTTTTAAAAAGTTCTTTCTTAATATTAAATTTCATAGTTGTAGAATAGTTTCTTTTCATTTCTTTTCTAAAATCTTGGTGTGAATTTTATGGTTTGAGCAGTCAACTTATAGTATTATTTATATTCTAGACCCATGGTTTTTAGCCTTTGGGGGTAGAGGGGTGTCTTTGGTCCCTTAAAAAAGTTATGAAAGCTGTTGGAACTCCCTAGAAAATTTACACGTCCATACAACTCTGCCTCCAGTTGTACTGCCTAAAGTCCGTCCAAGGACCCAGATTGAAACTTTCAAATTAATAACTATGAACAATGTGAGTTAAACTGGAACTTTTATAATTTTGTTTTGGGCTCAGATGTTTTAAGGTACTTCAATTTTTTTTTTATATTACTTCAGTTTATTTTTTTATATTAGTTTCTAACAATATTGGGAGAGAAAACATCTTATGATGTGATTTTTGTGTTTCCGACTGCAGGTGAAAGTAGGACTTAAATACCTTCCTCTAGAAATTTACCACAATTTAATAATTTGAATCAAGTTACTTATTTTTTATTTTATTGTAGGTTTTACTCTGCAGAAATCAGTCTAGCATTAAATTATCTTCATGAGCGAGGGATAATTTATAGAGATTTGAAATTGGACAACGTATTACTGGACTCTGAAGGGCACATAAAGCTCACTGACTATGGCATGTGTAAGGTGAGGAAAATTTTCTAGTTATTAAAATGATTTTCAGCAGCTCATAAAATTGTCTTGATAAAGTAACTTAATGTTTAAAGATCTGAAATGATTGATACTTTGTTTAGGATACTTTTTGGAATTCTACCACAGAAACACATGTACTTTTTTCCTAATCATTTGCTAAATTCCGTATCTTTTGTGTTATATATGCCATAATGAGTTAGTCTCTTTTTATTATCTGTAACTTTTTGTTTTGAAAGTTGTCACAATATTGAAGAAAATTTGTAAATAAAAATTGTCTGCAATTCCTCTACTTTAGCACAACCATTTGCATATCACCTTCCTAGTGAGAATTTTTGCCATTTATTATTGACTCTTAAATAATCCATTCAGGATTTTCCTCAGAAGTCTATAACATTTTTTAGATTTAAAATTTAAATATGTAACATAAAATATAATAAAATAAGAATTTTAGTTAGTCTCAGAACATGTCATCTTTATTTCTTGGCCTTTTATTGTTTTTTGTTAACAGTGTTTCATTTAAAGGTCTGGTCTTTTTTCATAAAGTGTGTAGGGAACTACTCCTTGTTAAAGTAGCTGGGCCAAAATTACCTTCACATAGTCAGTGTGGCAATAAGCATATAAATGTGTGAACTGCATTCCTCATTCACCTGAGAGAAGTTCTTCCAGAGCTGGGTTATCTAAATGTCTAATCGTATTTAAGATTCAACCTTATTATCTGTTCAGCGTATAATAGAATATAAAATCTTCAGTTAAACTACTTTTGTTCTTATGTATAAAACTCAAAGACAGTTTTCTGATAACTTCCTTCAGTTTTTTATTATGCAAATTTCCGATCATAAACAATTAGAAAGTTTAGAGAGTGGAACCCCTGTGTACCCATTATGTATATTTGTGATACCTCTTTGATCTCTGTCATTTTTTCTGAAAGGACTTTTTTTTTCTCATTTCAAAAAAACAGTGACAATAATAAAGGAGTCATAATTCTCAAGAGAAAATAAAACCAAACAAAAAATATGAAGAGCAAAGTATACACATTAAAACAATGAGACCTTTTTTTGCCTGTCAGATATTGGTTTTAAAACTAGGATAGTCTGTATTTACCAGAGATTAATGGAATGGGCATTCTCCTGTGTCATTGGTGGGTGTATAAATTGTTACAACCTTTTGAAAAACAGTTTGGTGGGGATCTATCAGGAATCTTAAAGATGGCCATGATCCAATAATTCTGCCTCTTGGTATTCTGAATAGTTTGGTCTATGAGGAGACGATTATGACCAAAAATTTTATTGTAGTTTATGATAGTTATTATAAAGTCATGTAAGAAGATGTTTACAAAAAATTCATAACAATATAAAATGCTTATAATATAGCATTAAGTCTTAAAGTATAGAATTCTTTAATTCCATTATTATTATTCTTTTATGTAGCATCACACATTTGTTCTGTTTATTTTTCTATATATTTTTAAGTTATTATAATGGCCTTGCATTACATAAACAGTGAAAATATAAAAATCATAAAAATTAGTTAAGGTTTTCTTTCTTTTTTCCTTCCTTCCTTTTATCCTTCTTTCCTTTCTCCCTCCTGTCCTCTTTCTCTCTCTCCCTTTCTACTCCCCTCCCTCCCTTCTTCCTTTTTCTCTTTCTTCTTTCCTTCTTCCCTCCTTTCATCCTTCCTTCCTTCCTTCCTTCCTTCCTTCCTTCCTTCCTTCCTTCCTTCCTTCCCTCCTTCCCTCCTTCCCTCCTTCCCTCCTTCCCTCCTTTCTTCACATTTTGTTACTCTTATTGAAAAATAATATTGGTTTGTTCTCATTCTTTACAAGGATCTCAATCAAATTAGTCAGGATCTTTACTAAATCTCAGCGATCTTTATTTAGTAGGTCTTTAAAGTAGTTGTTCTGCCTATCTCCCTTTCTACCTTCCCCTCTTCTTCAGGAACTGTTTAGTTTTATTAGTGGAAAAAGACACTAGGATTGGAACTTCTGTTCAAAGACTTTACTGACAGACTTTGTCTCTTCTCTCAATGACACATTTACAGCATTGTGATGTTAAAGTTAATGGGATATGAACCCCCTAAAAGTTTATATTCTACTATCTTATAATCTAGAGTCAATATTTAAACTTACCTTAAGTCTGACCTCATGCAATTATTGGATGAATTTCTTTTGCTTACAACAATTCCTTGGGAAATTGGATACACTAAAAAATTTTTTCACAGTTTTTCCAGAAATACTTCCTTCAGGTTTTAATTTATTTAATTTCCTCAGCCTCTCACTACATGCTTTTATATAAAGAGTGCAGAGGACAGTGATAAAAACATGAATTAATATCTTCAGACTTAAGTTTGGAATACTTTATGATCATTAATTTTATTGAGTAAAAAACTAGCCATTTATGAATTGATGTGCCTTTATCTCTTTTTTCATCAGTATGGGAATTTTAATAACAACATCTGTGTTATGCTGTTGATAATTTAGCTAATGGGCCTACATTCAGATATTCAGTCAACAAATGAATGATTTAGCATGGCTTTGTTACCAGTTAACAGACTTCATCTTTCCCCTCCGACTGTTGCCCTGAAAATACATGTCATTTATCTTGAGAATTTATGATAAACCATTGCCAATAATATAAAACAACTTAAAAAATATTCATATTTCTTAGTATACAAAAATAGCATATATATCCCTATTAGGAATCGTTTTTAAAAAGTCCTTGGAGTCACAACATATTACTAAATATTTCTTCTAGATATTTATAGCAGTGTTGTACATAATAGGGTAAAATTTGAAGAAAAATATGTACACCATGCCCAGAATGTCTCTGGAAGGACACATAAGAACCTCATAATAGTGGCTGCCTCTAGGGAGCTGGAACTGTATGAGTCAGGGACAGGAATGGAAGGAAGGCTTGATTTTCAATGTGTATCTCCCCCCTTTTTTTGGTTTGGAATTTTGTACCATATAATCTAACAATAAAGAAATGGTTAAATCCTAAGTACCTATGTTCAGTTGCATTTTCTGTAATCATTAATAACTGGAAGTCTGTAATTACTTAGGAAATGCTTGTAAAGTAAAAAACCAGATGCTTAATTATATATACTATTATTCAGTTGTTTTTATACTCTCTTTTTACTGTTGATTTCTTACTTAATTGCCTTGTGGCCAGAGAATGGTCTGAATGGTTCTTTGAAATACATTAAGATTTTCTTTATGACTTAGTATATAGTCAGTATCCTGCGTGTACTTAAAAAGGATATATATTCTCTATTTTACATGCAAGGAGTCTCTCTCTCTCTGCCTCTCTCCACACACGTATGAACATACATATTCTATATGTATGCATGTTATGTATATTTTTTAGGTCTACATTTGTCCATATCTTTCTCTTTTTACTAATTTTTTGTCTGTATGATCTATATCTGGTACAGATTTGTTAAAATCTTCTGTCATAATTGGGGATTGTGAAATTCTGATATTTTTGTTCATTTTTATTCTTTGTATTTTGAAGCAATGTTGCTAGGTGTATACAAGCTTGTATTTGTTTTAACTTCTTGGTGATTGCTCCTTTTATTATGTAGTTTCTCCACTTATTCCTATTAGTATGTTTTTGCCTTAATTTTCTCCATCCTGTAGCTATTAAAATGCAAAACCAAAAAACATGTACTTTAGGAAAAATGACCCTAAAGAAAACGTTATAATTTCAACAGTGGTTATGTTAGGAGGTAGGATTTGAAGTGCTTCTTATCTTCATGAAATATGATTCATTTTAATCACAAAGGTTAAATTTTTGTATTAAGTTTTAACTTGAATATAAATTATTTTAAATGCAACATTTTATCTTAATTGGAGTAACTCTTTAGCAATATCTAATGGGGACAGGTTTTCTTTAAGCTAATTAAGGGCAATCCATGATTTTAATAATAAAGGCAGTTATAGTGAAATATTATTTAAGCTTAATGTATTACCTACAGATACTTAAATTATATGATAGATGAAATAGAAAAGGTGAATTTAAAACAGAATTTTGCATCTTATACTTTCTTTCTTCTTTTTTTTAATAAAAGGAAGGATTACGGCCAGGAGATACAACAAGCACTTTCTGTGGTACTCCTAATTACATTGCTCCTGAAATTTTAAGAGGAGAAGATTATGGTAATAAATAAATAGGTGGTATTTTAGCTATTGCTAGATGGTGGTAAAATGTGGTACCAATTGCATTATAGTATACTATAGTACTTTAATACTGATCTTATTAACATAAACTTTCTTGATCCTGTTAAAATCTACATGAACACCCCACAAACTCTGAAATCTGAGATAGTAGGACCTTGGTGGTATTTGGATGTACACATTTGAATAATATTGTGTTAGTGACAAACACTAAAGAGTGGCAGGCACTATTCTAAGGAGTTTACATATATTAATTAACCAAGTTCATCCTCTCATCAACCCTATATTAGTTCCCATTTTACAGATAAGGAATGATGTAAAGAAAATTTAAATAACCTGTCCAAGGTTGTACAGCTAGAAAGTGGCAGAGTAGGAATTCAAACCAGCAGCTGTGTGATTCCAGAGTCATGAACCTATGCAAGATTATTCAGATTTCCTGGGATATTTTCCCCAGGAATCTGAAAGATGGTGGAAAGATTACTCATCAGTCTCCAGAGGATAAATTCATCTTCAGAAAGCATTTCACTCTTTGGATTCTGGCCCTCTGATTTCAGCATATGTAAAGTAGGATGCAATACTGACGATAGCTGCTCACGGTCTGAATCCAAGGTCCTGCAAGAGTCTATAATCAGCTAGCAAAAAGATTAAGGTTCAGACCAAAGGAGGTTATTCTCAAATACAATTTTATTATATCCTCAAGAAAAATATTAGATACTGGGCATGAGTCTGAAGTTACAGACATATTTGGAAAAAGAAATTTATGTTTTATTTCCCATAATTTTATTTTTAAAGTTATCTTTTAGGTACCTACCCTTGTTAATAAGCAAATTATTTTTATAATTCTCAATCCCTACCATGATAGTTGTAATCCATTTAGAGTTTATTTTTTCATTACGTTTATTTCTTCATTATGTGATGAAATGAATCTCTGATTACTGATCTTTAGGAATGCAGAGTGGATAATCTATTGCTTGAAAATTTCTTTCTGAAGGTTTTAGTGTTGACTGGTGGGCTCTTGGAGTACTAATGTTTGAGATGATGGCAGGAAGATCTCCATTTGATATTGTTGGCAGCTCTGATAACCCAGATCAAAACACAGAGGATTATCTTTTCCAAGGTAATTGGCAGAGAGGTTCTGTGTGGAATAACCTATTCTAGAGTACAAATGAGGGTGACTCAGGTTACTACTTTGAGTGAAAAAAAGAATAATCTTGACAGCATACACCTGACTTAATGTGTGAAGCTTTAATTTTTTTTGATACATCCTTTCTACCTATATAGTCTTTAGTCCCATTCGCAGTTATCTTCGCATACTCAAAATCATAACAAAGAGGTCCTTTCAGATTATATATCAGAGACAGAGATAGGAGGAGGGAATCCTGTGGCTAGAAAGGATAATCTTTATACATGGACACTGAGGCTGAGTGCATAAGTTCAAGAACAGTATGGGGGAAAAAGTAGAGCACCAGGACATAAGAGAGTTCAAAAGGTGAAAAAAAGAGGCTTGCAATGGAGAATACGATGAATTGAACAAAACAGACACAAGCAGACAAATACAGGGACCTCTATCACCCAATCCAAGGAAGTATGACGACTGACATAAAATTCTACATTTAATAAAGCCATCATAGGATATGAATAAACATTTTATATGCTAGGAAGCCCAAATGGCCATGGAATATGTGGAAAGACATTCAACCTCACTAGTAATTAGGGGAATGCACTTTAAAATATTAATGAGCTACCATTTCATATACATATATTTTGCAAAAATGTTAAAGTCTGATAATACCAGCAGTGGTGAGGATGTGGAGCAATTGGAACTCTCATAGATTGCTGTTGGGAATGAAAATTGACAAAACAGCTTTGGAGAATAATTTGGCAATGTCCAATAAAATTAAATATTATAATAATGTGCCAACCATTTTACAAACATTAATTCCTTTAAACCTCATAACAACCTGTGAAACAGGTGTTATTTTTATTCCTATTTTGCAGATGAGGAAATCGAGGCACAGTAAGGTAGCCAAAGAATAAAACATGCACATAAATGATAAATAGAGCATTAGGATTAGAGGTTGTCTCTTAGAAGGAGGGAGAGTAATGGGATTGGTAAAGTACACGAGGCACTTCAGTTGTGTATGTAATGTCTTATTCTTTCTGCTGGAATGTCTTAAATATCTCATAGTAAAAATTTAGAGGTGAAAGCCATGTAAAAGCTAAATATAATACCATAATCTCTCTCTCTAGTTATTTTGGAAAAACAAATTCGCATACCACGTTCTCTGTCTGTAAAAGCTGCAAGTGTCCTGAAGAGTTTTCTCAACAAGGTATAAATCGTGTATAAAAGTCTTTTGTCTCTATTTATATAAGTCAAACTGTAAGTAGAGCTTCAGGCAACATACAATTCCAAAACAGTAGAGTATATAACTTTTTTAGTTAGAGCTGGAATTTGTCTCTTAACCAAAGAGAAATTAATAGCATTAGATCCTGAGATGAGTTGTCCTTGCCATTTTGCCAATATAATTCACTCCCAGCTGTATAGTAATATGATGTTTTTAATGTAAATGATATATAACCTATACTCAATTAGGAGAAAATTAGATCTTTGGGGTTAGCCACACTTGTTTTTTTGGCTCTATTTTTTTCATTTTCTCTGGGTCATTACCCATAGATTCTGTTCATCACCATATACTTTTTGAGCATTTGGGTCAGTAGTGTTCCCTATAAATTCTCATATCAAGAACTCTGTAATTATATAAAATTCAGAAGAAATGAAATGACTGTCTTTGCCTCTTAAAAATCTGAACATCATTCACTTTGCTCCAGTTGGTAGACTAGAGGAGTTTTAGGATCTATTTAAGATTGTGATCTTGGTAATCATAAGTCCAACTTTAGATAAGTTGGATACTTGATGTGAGGAAAGATTTAAACTTAAAACAATCTTTTTACATAGTGAAAAATGAAGGTGAGAGGGCCGGCCCAGTGGCGCACTGCTACAGTGCGCCATTTGGGAACGCGGTGGCGCTCCCACCGAGGGTTCGGATCCCACATACAGACCGGCCGCTCACTGGCTGAGCGAGGTGCGGGCGCAACACCGAGGGTTGCGATCCCGTTGCCGGTCCCGGTCCGGTACGGGCGCGACACTGAAGGTTGCGATCCGTTGCCGGTCACGAAAAAAGACAAAAAGGAAAAAAAAAAAATGAAGGTGAGAGATGTTAATATGCAAAATAATATTCAGGAATGGGAACGTGATTCTTTCACAGTAGTGAGTAAGCCAAGACATTTTATAAGTTTCAGGCTCCTTCTCAGTCCAGTGATTCAGATTCTGGTTGTATCACTGGCTTACAGAGGTTATGATTTGTTGCTGTAAGTGAGCATAGGGCTTTTAAATTGAGGTAAGAACAAACTGGTGATGAAATTGGGGGTTTGCATATTTTGACGGTCACTCTAGCCCATGCCAAAGAAATAACTGGGTACTGCTCAAATGATTCTGCTGCTCTCTTTTTGCTCCCATTTTTCTTTAGCAAGAAGTGGTGGCAATTCTGTGTGTTTTAGTTACATGATAGGTAGAGAGAACCATGAGGAAATCTTACCTGTCATAAGCTTCAGATAACTCAATTGGGTCTAGTTTTGTATTTTCTAGATATAAAAGATAGACCATTACAACTTTAGAACTAAAGGTATCATGTAGTAGGCATGAAACACAGGTCATGAAGATGATTTATTTTATTTATTTATTTTTTCCTTTGGGGGTGGCTGGTACAAGGATCTGAACCCGTGACCTTGGGGTTATAAAGCTGCGCTCTTACCAACTGAGCTAACAGGCCACCCCCCGATTGGCTTATTTTAAAGCATGACATTCACCCAATTCTTAAAACATTTCTTTCCGCAATAGGACCCAAAAGAACGATTGGGTTGTCATCCTCAAACAGGATTTGCTGATATTCAGGGACACCCATTCTTCCGAAATGTTGATTGGGATATGGTATGTAAATTTTGATTGTTTTCTGTGTTAGATTTTATTATCTTGGGCCAATTTTTATTGTCTTTAAAGAATGTTGAAAAACTAATGCATTCCAGCTAAAATAACTAAAAACCACTCTCTAAAGTGCTTTTTTAGAAAAAGTTTTAAAACAAAAATATGAGAATATAAATGTAGTAGAACAGGTTGTTTGTAATATTATTATGGCCCATGTCAGATTTGTAAATTATGTCCATCATTGTTAATATAGAACCGTGTCCAGAGACTCAATTTAATAAGACGGGGAGACATCTGAGGGCAGAGGAGAAATGTTGAGATGAGGGCCAGCCCGGTGGCGCACTGGATAAGTGCGCCGCTTGGGAAGCATGGCGGTGCTCCCGCCCGAGGGTTCGGATCCCACATACAGACCGGTTCCCGCTCACTGGCTGAGCGAGGGGCGGGCGCAGCACCGAGGGTTGCAATCCCGTTGCCGGTCCCTGGTCCGGTACGGGGGCGACACTGAGGGTTGCGATCCGTTGCTGGACACGGAAAAAGACAAAAGACAAAAAAAAAAAGAAATGTTGAGATGAAATTTTTCTAAGAATGCAGGCTTGAGCTGGCATCCAGTATGTCTTTTCAGATGGAGCAAAAGCAGGTGGTACCTCCCTTTAAACCAAATATTTCTGGGGAATTTGGTTTGGACAACTTCGATTCTCAGTTTACTAATGAACCTGTCCAGCTCACTCCAGATGATGAGTAAGTAATTCTATACACTGAAATATTTTTGAAGTTCTTTGAAAATCCCACTTTTAATGGCTATCCGATGTTTCATTATCAGATTATACTATAATTTATTTAACCATTCAGTTACTGGATATTTGAATCCATTATACTGCTATAAATTATAACAACTGCCATTTATTTTCTACTTTGTTTTACATGCATTATCTCTAATTCCCACAACAACTATGTAAACTGGCTATTGTCAGTTCATTTTACAGATGAGGAAACCGAGGCTCAGAGAGGTTAAGCAAAGTTACACAGCTGTCAGGTAGCAGAGTCAGGACTCAGACCCAAATCTGACTGACTAAGCCCTGTGCTCTTTCCACTGCACTGCACTGTTTCCCATTTTAACCATGACTGTCTTCGTCTAAATTTCTGAGTATTACGTTAAGGAATTAGGGCAAAGGGTGTGAAAATTGTAAAGGTCTTGATATGTATTGCCAAATTGCTTTTTAAAAAAGACTACATCAAGTTATCAAATTCAGCCAGCTGTGATCTGAATTTTTATGTTTATGTTGCATCTGTTAAAAATATAGTTTAGAATAATTTGGGGATATTTTGATTGTTCACCTGTCAGTACAGATTCATTCTCTTATCTTAAGGAGGACATTACTGTTTGACAGTCATTTAACTTATTTCTTAATTCTTATCACATTCCTCACAGCAGCTCTTCCAAACAGTCTCTATGTTTTAGAAGCCTTCAGTCCTACCCCAGCCTCCATCAGTCTTTGGATTGACCTTGCCTTAACTTGACTGCAAGGATTGAGACCTCTCTGGTGTGAACTTGCTCCCTTTGTAGCTGTCACCAGACCAGTTTGCATCTCAGGATTGCTCTCTAACTCTTCTCAACCTTTTTCTTCTTCCCTACTCTTGGAAGGCTCTCCGTCTTTTGCAAGAGATACCCCTCCTGTTTTCCTAGACCTGTTTCCTTGGTTTCCTTCAGGATTTCATTGTTAACTATCATCTCATTACTCTACCTTCTTTTTTTTTTTTTTTTTTTTCCATTTTGTCTTTTTTCGTGACCGGCAACGAGATCGCAACCCTCGGTGTTGCGCCCACACCTCGCTCAGCCAGTGAGCGGCCGGTCTGTATGTGGGATCCGAACCCTTGGCGGGAGCGCCACCGCACTCCCAAGCGGTGCACTGTAGCAGTGCGCCACCGGGCCGGCCCCAACTCTACCTTCTTTGATTTATTTTTTCCAGCTTCTTTTCCTTTGCCTACAAACATGCTTAGATATCCTGATTTTTTTCCCCAAAATCTTCGCGTCTCTTTGAGCTTTTTTTTCTCATTTGCTTTTCATCTTCAGGCCTTTAAAAAAAACAGTTAATAGATGCTCATGGTCAAAGAAAAATAAATAAGCAGTATGTCTGTCAAAGTCCTTCAGAGTAGTCAACACTGATTGTCTTGTACTTCTTTCTGCCAACACTTTTTTTTTTTGTTTGTTTTGTTTTCGTGTCCGGCAATGGATCGCAACCCTCAGTGTCGTGCCCGTACCGGACCGGGACTGGCAACGGGATCGCAACCCTCGGTGTTGCGCCCACACCTCGCTCAGCCAGTGAGCGGCCGGTCTGTATGTGGGATCCGAACCCTCGGCGGGAGCGCCACCGCACTCCCAAGCGGTGCACTGTAGCAGTGCGCCACCGGGCCGGCCCCAACTCTACCTTCTTTGATTTATTTTTTCCAGCTTCTTTTCCTTTGCCTACAAACATGCTTAGATATCCTGATTTTTTTCCCCAAAATCTTCGCGTCTCTTTGAGCTTTTTTTTCTCATTTGCTTTTCATCTTCAGGCCTTTAAAAAAAACAGTTAATAGATGCTCATGGTCAAAGAAAAATAAATAAGCAGTATGTCTGTCAAAGTCCTTCAGAGTAGTCAACACTGATCCAACACTTTTAACCCCTTAAAATTTAGTTTAGCCTGTTCCTTCAGCTTTTGAAAGTTGAATCAACTTCTAAATTGTAAAGCATTTTTGTGGTCAGTCCTCGTCTCTCTGGAAGTCTGTGAGGCATTTGGCAGTCATGGTTCTGCCTTAGGTATCACTGCCCATCTTGGTTCTGCTCATTTCTGTGACCACTTGTCTGTCATCTTTTTTCCCTGTCCCCTTGAGACCAGGATGCTGATGGTTCACCTTCACTGCTATATACAGTTTGTACCTTGAGATTTCAATAAGCCCTGCAGCATGGATACCAACTATTTAAATGACTCCCAGCTAAATTGGCAAATAGTTATTGAGCAAAAGGTACTATGCTAAGTACTAGGCATTTGAAGACAATTAAGATAGTAAAATCTCACAAAAAGTGTACTGTCTACTAGAGGAGAGAGTTATATAACAAATCATTATTTCTGACAGCATTGTGTATTAGAAAGAGCACTGGATTTAATCAAAAGATAGGAATTTGAATCCCGATGCCACCTCTTACCAGCTGGGTAACCTTGAATATGAATTGCTTAACTTCTCTGAGCCTATCTCTCCTCATATTGCCTACCTCATAAGGTTGCTGTGAAGAATAAACCAGTGATGGTCTCTGAAGCACCTAGCCCCTTCCTTGATATCTCTCCCGAACCACATTTTCATGTTTGTTTAACATCTCCTGCAGTTTTTCAGATAAGCACCTCAAATATATGAAGTCTAAAATCATAATTGTGACCCTTTGTGGTCTCTTTTTCTTTTGTTCTCAATCTGTTTCTTGTTTTTATTCACCTCTTCCTACTTAATGTATCCTCACATATTCCTGTCATTCCTGTTAAAAATATGTCAGTGATTGCTGACTCCTCTTTTTCCTTAACAGATTATATAATACCTGCAGCTGCCAAGTCCTTGTCTGTTTTTCCTTTACTTCGTCACTTGTATCACATCCTTCTTTTCCATCTCCATTTGCCATAACCCTGGTTCAGGTCTCATTTGGATCATACCTAGAGTGTTGCACCAGCCTCCTAATTGATCTTCTTCACTTCTTTACTTTGCAGCCTATTCTGTACACTTTGTGAAGTACCATTCCAATTATTTAACCCCTTTAATCAGAAAACTCCCGGTAATTTCTACATTGCCTATCAGATAACATCTATTCTCTTGGCTAGCATTTAAGGCCTCTCCTCATATGCTCCAGCCCAACTTTCTATAGCCATATCTCCCACAATAACACAAATGGTGTGCTGATCAGTCTCAGTTACTCACCATTCTCTGTAAGTGGGTATCACTGTCCCTCTGCCTGTTCATACCTCTGTATTCCTCCTCCCTGTTTTACCATTGAAATCTTCCCATCTTTCAGGGCCATCTCAAATGCAATCTTTTGCATTTGGTGGATGAGTCATGGTGAAACACCTTTTTGTAAACATCACTGGTTTCTTTGATCTAGCCATTACCTTCCTTTCAGCTTCATCTGCCGTTTATAACCCTTCTATTCCTGTGCTCCAACTCTAATATATTACTTGCATTTCCCCAGACTACCATAATCTTTCATAATTCCATTCATTAAGTACTTGTAGAATGAATGCTGCCTTCCTTGATTTCTCCAACTAGAAGTCACCCCTTTATTTAGAACTGTGGTTAGAACAGGACTTAGCTTATCCTATATGAAATTTTGCAGTACTGCTTTCTTTCATAGCTTTCGAGTATATGAGTTACTCATACGCATCCTCCCTCCCAAGAAGGGACTGTATCCTCTGTAACTTTGTGATCCACAGTATGGTTTGTACATTTAGGTATTAAAATATTGGATGTACTACTCACTCTTACTATATGTTAAACTAGATGCTCAGTGTAGCAGAATGCCAACCTCTCCACTCTCTGTGACCTGTTATCTTCCTGTGGTGTTCTCTCCTTATTCCAGGTCTCTCAGTGTACTTGTTCCTATTGAGTTTTCCTTTTGGCTAACTTCTGGGCCTTCTCTTCACCATCTCCCATCTGGCTGTTGAGGTGACTACTAAATTGAATTGCCAATTCAGACCTGGATGTTTATCTAAATTAAGAGTGTTGGGCAGGTCAAAAGTTAAGATTAACTACAACTGTGACAACATGTGCCTTTTTTATTCCCAGTCTTCAGTTTTGAACTACCTTTTGGCTCTAAACTTGTTTGTGTGACTATTAGTCTTTTTTGATTTTCAGTAATTTTTATTCTTAATTCTTATGTTTTGGGTTTAATCTAAGAATTTAGAGATTTTGTTTCACAATTTATATAATTAGCCTTATTTTTTGTTTTTTAATCTTATTTTACCAATTAAATCAAAGGTTGAAGAAATATTATGATGAAAATAAATTTATTTTTCTTTCAACAGTGACATTGTGAGGAAGATTGATCAGTCTGAATTTGAAGGTTTTGAGTATATCAATCCTCTGTTGATGTCTGCAGAAGAATGTGTCTGACCCTCATTCTTCAACTGTGCATTCTGCTTGTGTTGCCATTTAATGCATGGATAAACTTGTTACCAGTTTGGATACAATTAACCATTTTATATTTGCCACCTGCAAAACAACACTCAATATCTTCTATTGTAGACTATAAGAATCAGTTATTAGATCTAGGTTTGACTCTGGAAAAGGAATTAAAGCTAGCTTCCAGACAGTCATGTCAGGAGTTTGGTATACTGTTTCCTCAGAGGCCTACTGAGGAGTAATGAAGTTTTTTTGTGGGTTTTTTTTTTTTTTTTGTCATAGAACTGTGATTCAGAAGAAGTTATCTTTTTTGTTTAAAGAAAATACCACTGCTTTTAAAAGAAAGTATCTGTTGCATTAAGGTACATTGTGGTATTACCTCATAAGCCTCCCATAATTTTCGTCATGCTTTGTTAGGTCATTTGAGGGTTTAATTTTAGAGTAAAAGATAAATTCAAAATACAACAATTTTTTATGATGTCTATTAGTTTTGGAGTTCTTTATGTTTAAAAATTCAACTGTAAATTTTATCATTGCCTGAGATAATTAAATTACTGATTTTTAAGGTTAACAGTTACTAAATTGGTAATAACAGATGTTGCTTGTTTAGAGTTGAGACATACAGATCCTTCTTAAGTTAAAAAATAGTATAATTTTATTAAGAATCAGATTCTAAATCATTAGTTATTTTTGAAAAACTGGCACAAGTGACTTTTTTAGTATATTAAGGGGGGTTAGCTTCTGAGCTTGTCTCTTTAGCCAAAACTTTAACTAGAATGTTAATATATGTAGTTCAAAAGACCCAGGATGAAGTTGAGTGGAAAATTGCTCAGTATATAGAAAGGAAAGAATATAAATTTAAAATAGATACAGACAAGTGCAATGGCAATATTTGTTACTTACTGGAGAGTGAACGCCACAGTTGCTTTTTGTTATATGATTTAAATAATAAGGTGGCACTCACCTGTTACCAAACTTACAATTGTATTCCATTTATTCAGCAAAAGAAGGATGTATAATTTTTTTTCCTTATAATTTAGTATACAGGAAAATAATTTATCTTCTATGTAGGGTGTCTTAACTATGCTCATTTTTTTTGCCAAAACTATGTTATCTGTACTTTTGGATCCTATTTATGGAGTCTTCAGTGAAATCCAAGAAAAATAACAAAGTAAACATGAATAATTATTCAGGACACACATATGCACTCACACAGATCACAGTCCCAGTCCCTTAAGTGAGTTCTTATTAGGTAGGTAATACATGTAATACATAGTAGAATACATTTCAGGGAAGTTCTTCAGGTTATTTTTTATTTATATTAGTGTTTGACAATTTATCATAAAAAGGAGTACCAATTATAACACCCTTCTGTTGTTTATTTAAAAAAAATTTTTTTTTTTATGAAAAGGGACTTAAAAGGTAATCATGATTATCTAAATTACTTACAAATTTCCCATCTTAATAAAATTTAATTTTATAGAAGCTACCTAATCTTAAATTTAGAATGATTTAAAATTTGTAGGCATTTAATCAGTTATCTTTTTTTTGATGCTACATTTCATTAAATATGTAATTTTTCCAAAGTTTCTGGCCATGTACTCTCTTTTCTTCAAATAACTGAGTATGAAAGCAATGAAAACCTCAAAAGAAAATATTTATATACATTCACATGTTTATTTGAGAGGTATATATATGTCTCTTAGTACCTGAAACTTGTTTTAAAACAAAAAACAGTATTCACTTCAAATCATAAACTTATAGAGAATTCTGACATCTTATGTCAGAAATATGTTTATGATCTTGCTTGTAAGTGGTGCTGTTTTCCCTAGGGCATTAGTTATCAAATTTTAGAATGGGGAATAATCACCTATGGAGTTTGTTTCAAATGGACATTTCTGGGCCCATGTTAGAATTCTTTTGGGCATTTGGACCTCATTTTGAAAAAGGCTTTCTTCAAATTATTCTTTTCTTTTGTCCTGTGGTTGAATATTAGAAAGAGTGTTCATGATAAAACATTTTGAGAAGGGGTAAGCAGTGAGTTATTATCTTATCCACAATATTAAACAGTTTTGGATGAATAACTTTTTAAAGTTAGATATCTTCCCCCATCCCCCCCAAAAAAACCAGTTAGTTTTTTACCAATAATGTACAAATGATGAGCATTTTTCTATGATGAGGTTTTAACCATTATTCAGTGTGGTCCTTTGTTTTTAAATCTTTTTTTAACTAATAAGATTCACCAAGTAATTGTTTTATACAGAATTGCATCACAAATATGTTTTTAATTGTGTTTTGTTTCTTGCAATCTTTAAGTGCCATGCCAATTCTTTTTATATTATATAGGCACTCTCTCAAAATAATCACCAGGTCAATAAAGCAGTGGACAGTCAGAATGGTTAGAATTTTGGTGTTCTGAGAAAAAAATTTATTTTGCATAAGCGTGTGGTCAGATCATTTTATGTATATGCAGCCTGGATTGGATATCAAGTATAATGTTTGTTCAGTACCGGTACATTATAAATTTGTTTTTATAAATTTGTTTTTTTTTTAAAATTTTTGTCATGTAGAATACTGCCTTGGTCATCATAATGTAATTTGTGTACTTTTTTTTTTTTTACTTTAAAATCTTTAAATAAAATGCTTAATGCCCATCAAGAATCAGCTGTTTTTACTATGTAGCATATGATAAATTTGTGTGAGAACTAAAAGATATATCAAAATTTGTTTAAGAGAAGAAGGAAAATTTAAAAATTCGGAATTTTGCTGTACTTACAGTGGTATTCTGGTAATACTGACGTTATAGTGTAGACATTTTACTCATAAATTATAATATTCTTTTGTGTATTTTTAACTTACCCTTCCATTCATCTGTTCTATTGGAAAGCAAATTAGTAAAAAATCAGCTAAACATAGAACATTTTAGCTGGTTTTAAAGTTGAAGTGAATTTAAACAAATTCAGAACAGATTATTCCCATATTATATTCTACAGCAATCTATTCTATTCTAAAGTCCAGAACTTCTCCTTTCTCAAGTATAGCTAGTGTCCATATATAAACAAGTGTGAATGTGAATCTGGTGTCCCACACATATAATCCTCTTTACCATAACTTAATGTTTTCTTCCCTTCACAGGGAGAATGAAATCTTAAGTGCCTTTGCTTTATTCATAATTGACTTGTCAAAGAGCAAAGGGCCTGTATGTTAAAACCGCCAAAGACTGATCTCCTGTTATTTTATTGTAATTTCAAGTCTTGCTTAAAATGGAGGTATAGGCAGTATTAGTGAAGTGCTGTCCAGGCTATTCCCTGCATCACATCATAAATTTTGTTGCTTTCTATGAGTTAGTAAAATCCCAAAACAGAACCCAAAGAGGAACTTGAAGCTTTAGGGAAGCTTTAGTCACTGGGGCAGCCGGTTTCTCCCTAAAAGGTAAAATCAGTCTCCAATCCTTGAAATTCAGTAGCTTGGGGGGCTGGCTGGTGAGCTCAGTTGGTTAGAGCACATCCTTGTAACACCAAGGTCAAAGACTCAGTTCCCAGTACCAGCCTGCTCCCCGCCGCCCCCCAAAATTCAATAGCTTGGTTTCTGGCAACACCTAGCAGTGAGTCATTTGGTATATCAGGTAGTCTCCTTTTTGTAGTTTTACTCTCCTCTGCTGTAGGACTTAAGGAATCAGTTAAGACCCAGATAGTCTGAGTAGTTTGTATACATAGTTTATTGTTCCAGAATATGCTGGAATTTACTATGCACAGTGCCAAATACAGCTCTTAAGAAGACAGAATCTCTCCCCTTGACATTCAAGATAGAGAACAGACATACTGAGAAAGATGTTCATCTCCACAACAAATAGTCTGGTGATGAAAGCCAAATAAATGCAGTAAAATATGTGTTATGTGATCATGACAGTTTATCACCTACACTAATGAAATTTATATGAGTTTTACTTAACATTCTTTTGTAATTGATCCATGCTGGACATTTTTCAGTTTTCCAGTAGATTCCACAAAGTTTTCTGAGTTCATAATATAGACAATAAGAATAATAAAATCTTAGATCTCTGCTCCCCACCACCACCACCACACACACTATGAGACTGTTTTCAGCTTTTGTGCTGATATGAATTGGAGTTTACATTGGAATGGAAGAGCAAATTGTCAGATGCTTCTGCTTAGATTAGATTTTTTACAACCCATCTCTGAAATTTATAATTAAAATGAATCCAGCTCAGAATTCGAGAATGATTTCTGGATATGAAATGTGGTATTACAATTCACTTTCATGTAGCAACTTGTGCCTTACTGGCATTAATGTATTTTTACTCCAGTTACTATTTTTAATATTTTTATTGCACAAACTGAAATTCCAAGTATCTAAGAATTAAGTGGCTATTTAGTATGATCTTTTACAGGATACCTGAAAGTTAAAACCTATGCTAGATGGATTCATTAGACTTGAGAGAGAGTTGTGTTAGCTTAGGTTATCATCAACAGTTTAAAATTAGCTGATCAAAAGCTAATTCTAATTGCTTAAGAAAGAGCCTGTTGAAAGGCTCTAGCAAATCCTTGAAAAATTAGATGCTTTGTTTTTTCCATAAAAAGAAAGTTCTGGGTGTTTTTTAGATGTAGTGTCACATAACCAGATTTAAAATTTAAATGATATAAACTATAATGTAGGTGGCCACACATGATGACTTTTTACATTATTCATAATATATTTAGGAATAAAATTATGTAAAGATAGTTAAATACAGAAATCTAAGTCACATTTATGCCCTTTAATAGAAATTTTTATGCACAATTTTTTCTAGTTGGTAAATTTTTATTTAAAACAGATTTTTAAATTTAAGGATCTTGAAAGCATTTATGAACAGTTTGACTCTTCTACCCAGTTGAACTGGTAATTTTCTAGTGGGGTAATGTGAGTCAGTGTGCCAAAGACTTGATATTTTGCTAAATTATTCTTATTTAAGTTTTATGCTTTAATTCATGTGTTTATTGGGGGCTTTACAATATGTCTAGCACTATACCAATTCTGCAGGATTTGGAAAAGTGATCGTTTATAGATTTCTTTTTGTGATATAAGGAATAAGTATGTTCCAGAAGAGTTGGGTTAAAGTTTTTAAAAAACTCTGTGTGTATGTTATCCCTTTAAGTAGGAGATATTTCCTATGACTGTTAGAAATTAACATTCTTCCTCTAGCAGTGAGGTCTCGGGAGAGTGTGGGGAGGAGACACCAGTATGCCTGGTTCTCTCAGAATGGTGGTTCTATCTGCTTCACCACCACCAGGGGCCAGTCTCTTGCTGTAATGAAGGTCAGAGTTACCAGCACCTCAGCCCTCTGGAGGAGCCAGTTTAGTCATTATAGGCCAGTTAGCAAAAGGTTCTAGGATTTTGTCAGTGCTGATCATGTGTATTTTGATTTTACAGAACTATTAAAAGTCAGTATCTCATTTGAATTGTTTTTGAGAAGTCTCTAATATGTTATCTGGCAAGTTTTTGAGCTGAATTGCTTTGCCTTCTCTAACATAAATGAGGTTCTACTATGTGCTAGACACTAGGAATATATCAAACAAGAGTCTAATCATGTCTCGTTACATCTCTGAAGAATACTTTTAGATGAAGATAAAACCAGGGCTGATTTTGGTCATTTAAACACAAAGGAATTCAGTAAAAACAAAATCCAAGAAATTGTCCACATTCTTTAGTTGTGAACTTTCTGTATCAAATATTGCATAGCATTAAAATAGTGTCATTTACAGATCTAAACCCATAAATGTTTGCAGACACTCAGATTGTCCTTTAAAAACATGATTTCAGAAGAGTTTTGACCATGTTGCTACAAGGGGTCTTTAAAAACTTCATGGAAAGATTCATTTTGTCTTTTTTTTTTTTTCCTTTTTGTCTTTTTTCGTGACCGGCAACGGATCACAACCCTCAGTATCGCGCCCGTACCGGACCGGGACCAGCAATGGAATTGCAACCCTCGGTGTTGCGCCCGCACCTCGCTCAGCCAGTGAGCGGCCGGTCTGTATGTGGGATCCGAACCCTCGGCGGGAGCGCCGCCGCACTCCCAAGCGGCGCACTGTAGCAGTGTGCCACCGGGCCGGCCCCATTTTGTCTTTTAATTCTATTTTTCCATAAACTTTTTGAAGTACCCTCATATTTCACAAACACTAAACATTTTTGTAAGGGAGGTAAATAATTGAAATCATCTATTTGCCAAGGAAGGAGATTTTTCTTTCTTTCTTTCTTTCTTTTTTTTTTGTCCTTTTTGAGACTGGCCACACCGCGCTCAGCCAGTGAGCGCTGTGAGCGCACCGGTCATCCCTATATAGGATCCGAACCCGCGGCGGGAGCGCTGCTGCGCTTCCAGTGCCGCACTCTCCCGAGTGCGCCATGGGCTCAGCCCAGAAGGACATTTTTTTGCTAATCCTGTTGAAAATTAATTTCCAGCATGCCTCAGTTTCAGGCAGCTATTTACTTCATTGCCCAAAATAACTGATTGTACAATGCGCCATAGGTTGCACTAAACAACCTCATACTCTCTCCTTCACAGGATTTTTATCGACATCTTTTTTAGATTTGTTGTGTTATTGACACCACTTTATAATCTCCTTGTAACTTGGTAGTAGGAGCAACTGGGAAGTATGAAATCTGTCCACTTACAAACTATTCTTGAAAATATAAGAATTTTTTTTTTTCCTTTTTGTCTTTTTTCGTGACCGGCAACGGATCACAACCCTCAGTGTCGCGCCCGTACTGGGCCGGGACCGGCAACGGGATCGCAACCCTCGGTGTTGCTCCCGCACCTCGCTCAGCCAGTGAGTGGCCGGTCTGTATGTGGGATCCGAACCCTCGGTGGGAGCACAGCCGCACTCCCAAGCGGCGCACTGTAGCAGTGCGCCACCGGGCCGGCCAAAATATAAGAATTTTTTAAATATTTTAAAATAGAGGGGAAAACTTGTACCTTATAACTGTAATGAGGCCTAGTGTTTTTAACTTATGTTTGATTTTCAGTGAAGCCAAAGAAAGTTAAGTTTCCCAAAGGAAGTTGCTCCTCATGTTAGGTCCACACAAATAGAAATATTATTTATGGGTTATAATAGCTGACCTGGGCCAGACATGTGTTAGACATTTTGCACATGGCTCATTTAATCCTAGCAGTCCTCTGGCTGTCTCCCACCCCACAACTACTAAACCAAAATCTTTGGTAAATAAGATCTGGGACTAGCATCCCAGGCTAGTCTCAAGTTAAATTTTGAGAACCACTAATTTGCATTAGTATGAGAGCTATTACTATTATCCTCATTCAACAGATGGAGATAAAAAAAGATGTAGGGAAGTTAGGTAACTTATCCAAAGTTTATATGACTCCAGTGTGCCCATTATTCCTCAAGACAGCATATGTCGAATTTGCTTTAAAACTTCCATCTCCAAGAAAGTACACACACATGACTTGTGCACTGTTTTTCAAACTCTCTGTCTGGCTTATTCTTTGACGGCTGTCTCTGTGGGTCTGTTCAAGGCCTTAGTCCCTTCTCTGCAACTGTCTGCATTGGTTCAGCTCTCTCAGCCTTTTCCCATGATGTTGCACTTTATCTTCCAAAGGTTTGAGCCTCCTACATTATGTACCTATGAAATATATTTTGTTTGAC